TCTCCACGTTTTGATATATTGACCCTAGATTACATTATATTATATTGATCCAAAATGGTTTTACACCTGCATTGATATATTACTCTATAAGTTGTATTATATTATACCAGTATATTGATAGTGTTAATCCATTGATTTGATTGGTCCAAACACAAAATTTGCATATGCAATCAATGGTATACTTGCTGATAATATACAGCTTAACCAAGTGGCCCTAGAACATGAATTACATACAGGTTTAATACGGAAATACATAAAATAGGTATTATTTGTTATTTAGGAAAATGTAGTGATTGAATTTTGGAAGAATATTGAAAAAAATACTGAATTAAAAACATCTGAAAAGTTATATAACCATTATATTGCTTTTTGTTGGGTGATTGTCATTCACCACACAAACCTAAACCACTTTCCCTCAACACCGTGAGGTGCCTGAACGAACGCCAGAACAATGTGTTCTCCGTGTTGCGACTTTGAGATGGATTGCGAACCTCCAACAAAGAACACATGATCTTTAAGTACTAGATGAGATTGAGGGATTGAAGGACAAAAAAAATGCAAAAAAACTACAAGTCACAGGCAAAAAACGTATGCCACCAATAACAACTGGTCTCCTGTAGCGGCGTTCGAATTCTAGCTGACAAAATTGTAGTGAAATTGCACCCAGGTAATTGCCATCTGTTTCAAAGAACACTGAACAACGCAGAATTCGATGACAATATATGGTATTGTAATTCTCCACGTGGGTAAATAAATTACATGAGATGATGATTTGTGCCGAGTGCACACCAACCACTGCATTAGAGCGACGGCGTGCAAAGTCTTTCTTTCTTTCTTTCTTTCACAAAAACGATGCGAGAATCTGATCTTACACCATCAAACTTGCCCCAGAATAAAGACAAAACTTGTCAGTCATACTGTCACAAAACTTTGGTTATACCAAAGGTATTCAGGTCAGATGTTGGAACTGAGGTCGCCGTGATATACCACGTCCCACCGCGTCTCAAATTTCAGTCAAACCAAGTACCGCTGAACGTCAAATATCCACAGTTACAAGTAGTATGATGAGTCACAAAATCGGTTTAATTCACAACTGTACTTTCAATGGGCAAATTACAATAGAAAAAACGGGATGAAAACGTGGAAAATCCGTTGTTTTAATTATCCAAACTGTACACGACCCTGTATTTCAAATGGCGTTGACGCAGTCAGTAAAAGGTCGGAAAGGTCATCTTTTGTTATGCTAATTTTTATGTTTACGCTGCTCTATTCACCGTGGATACGTTTCTTTTTCATGCGGAATAAAAATTAGTTTGTATTCAATTTGAACTGTGTTGAGCATGTAATTTTTGTATGCATTCAGCGTTCAACTACATACTATTCTTATAAATATTCATGTTCAAGGGCCATAATCATGATCTTTTAGTAGATGAAAGTAAACTCTTTTTTTACTAGTTTTATCGAATTGTCAATATACTGGTATAATATATTAGCAATAACCCCCGCCAAAGTTTGGTATACCACTTGATATTGCACAATTTACTCCATATATGCACTCGCCTGCGGCTTGTAAAATTTCTTACCACCAAAAAATGTTCTTGAGTCAATTACATGTATGTCATTTTTTTTATACTGTTTTTTTTTCTAGGCAGAGACGTTACTCCAGCATCAGTCAAAACCCACAGCAAAGAACAAAGATGGGAAAACTCCCCTAGATTTGGCATGTGAATTCGGAAGAAGAAATGTTGTAGAATTATTATTAAACAGTAACCAATGTTCAGCATTACTTGATGCGCCACCAAATATAAAACAAAAACCACAGCATACTCCATTACACTTAGCTGCAAAAAATGGTCATATAGATGTAATCAGGTATGGGTGCCATTCATCAAAGTTTTCTAGCATATGTCTTCTTTGGAATTTATACCATCGTGACAGCACTACACATTTATTTATTTTCCACTGCATAGTGCCATCCAGTTGATGAATTGATTAAACCTGCACAATTAGTGTCCTAATGGTGATATAATCTGAGCAATGTTCATTTGTTTTCACCTACAGAATCTTAATACAGTTAGGAATAGATATCAATCGTGAGACACCGAGTGGAACCAGTTTACATGAAGCTGCATTATATGGTAAATCAGAAGTAGTACGGTTACTTTTAGAGGTAAGTAAACTTTTTTTGGTATACGGATTCAAAGGTTATTTCAACCATGATCTGATTTAATGTAGTCTTGAGGAACAATTGTAAAATTAAATTGAATAGCGCCCTCACATGTTCAATTGCACAAATTCTTTATGTAATAGAAAAATAAAATATACTGTGAATTGATATAAATTTTTTGATTTTGTAATTTTTAAGTCAAAGTCATTGCCAGTAATTTAAAGTTGTGGTTGGTTTTATTGTTTACAAGTCTTAACTATCCAGACATTCTTTCTGCATGTGTGCAAAATTAATCTCTACCTAAGGTCTCAAATTAAATTTAATGAGATTTTGACTGGCTCCATAAAATTGACAAAATTTAGTTGTTTATAGTATGTTACATGTGAATAAGACAGTGATATTGGTACTTTTCTTTTCTAGCATGGCGCTGATGTGTACATAAAGAACACATTTGGACAGTCTGCTTTGGATATTGTCAATAAATTTACATCTTCTCGAGCAGCTCAGGATATCAAACAAATGCTTAAAAGTAGGTCTAGTTCATTTGTAATTTTTTGGATGGTTCTTTAAATATTGATCCCATGCAAATATTGAAATTAAGACTATGAAAATAACAGATTGTAGATTTAAAAAAAAAAAACTAAGTCTACAAAGTGGAATTGAGGCTAATGGTTAAATTTTTTAGACCTGTACTGTATGCTTCTTACAAAACAGTAACAATGAGAATAGTATATTTCAATATTTCAAGTGTCACTTGTTTGATGTAAAAAAAAAACTTGAGACATGCTGAATATTATACTCTCAATCTTCAATGAAGGCTTTACGGTTCAAGATTTTCAAGAATGTTATTACTTTTACTCACTAAAGATGTGAATGGATTAACAGAGTTGTTGACTTCTCGTTGACAAACAGGGGGCCAAGAACTCATGTGTATATATATATATATATATATATA